ATTGTCTGAGGCATTAAACAGCAGGGAATGGAAGCAGGCCATGAAAGTTGAGATGGACGCACTGGAAAAGAACAAGACTTGGGAGATGGTCGAATTACCGAAGGGAAAAAAAACTGTGGGATGCAAATGGGTGTTTTCAGTAAAATTCAATGCAGATGGATCTCTTGAAAGGTACAAGGCAAGGCTAGTAGCAAAAGGATATACCCAGACCTTTGGTGTTGATTATCAAGAAACTTTTGCCCCAGTGGCAAAAATGAACACAATAAGAATTTTATTGTCTCTGGCTGCTAACTTTGATTGGACTTTGCAGCAGTTTGATGTAAAAAATGCATTTCTGCATGGAGATCTTGAAGAAGAAATTTATATGGACGCTCCTCCAGGATTTAGTTTTCCGAAGAAGAATAGGGTATGCAGACTAAGGAAGGCACTGTACGGACTGAAGCAATCCCCCAGGGCTTGGTTTGGCAGGTTTGCAAGAGCAATGTTAGCAATGGGTTACAAACAAAGTCAAGGTGATCATACTTTGTTCATAAAACACTCTTCTTCAGGGGGAGTTACAGTCCTCATCGTATACGTAGATGATATTATTGTCACTGGCAATGATCAAGCTGAAAGGGAAACTCTTAAAGCTAAACTGGCCACGGAATTTGAAATAAAAGACCTAGGCAAGCTGAAATACTTCCTGGGAATTGAAGTTGCTCGCTCCAAAGAAGGAATTGAAGTCTCACAACAAAAGTATGTTATTGATTTACTGAAAGAAATAGGAAAGATAGGCTGTAAGCCCGTGAAGACTCCCATTGAACCGAATCATAAGCTTGGAGAAGCTGTTGATGATGAGCCAGTTGACAAAGGAATGTATCAAAGACTTGTTGGAAGATTAATCTACTTGTCTCACACCAGGCCTGACATCGCCTATGCAGTTAGTGCAGTGAGCCAATTTATGCACAACCCAAAGGAAGTACATCTCCAAGCAGTATATAGAATCCTGCAATATCTAAAATCTAGTCCAGGTCGAGGCATATTGTTCAAGAGAGGATTGTGCTTGAACTTAGAAGTTTACACAGACTCAGACTATGCAAGTTCAGTGTCAGATAGAAGATCAACCTCGGGTTATTGTGCCTTCCTAAGTGGGAATCTTGTTACATGGAGGAGCAAAAAGCAGCCAGTAGTTGCAAGGTCAAGTGCAGAAGCTGAATTTCGTGCCATGGCTTTAGGAATATGTGAATTATTATGGTTGAAAATAGTCCTGAAGGATCTTGGAGTTTCAGTTAAGAGGCCGATGAAGTTATATTGTGATAACAAGTCAGCCATCAATATTGCACATAATCCAGTGCAACATGACCGCACCAAGCATGTGGAAGTTGATCGCCACTTCATAAAGGAAAAGCTCGATAATGGACTAATTTGCACTCCGTATGTCTCAACAAGAGGACAACTAGCTGATGTACTAACCAAAGGGTTAGCCAGTCCTGCGTTTCAAAGAATTGTTTGCAAGCTGGGGATGGAAGATATTTATTCCCCAGCTTGAGGGGGAGTGTTGGAGAATTACGTGATTTATGTAATTGTTAGATAAATTTGGAAAGTAATAACTGTCTGATTTTGTACTAATTACAGGCTAATATAGCTGGTGTATTAAAGTTTAGGTTGACTTATTTTATTTTCTGATCTTAGGGATTTGATTGTATATTCCTTAATTTACTGGATTCTGATCTGATTGTATTCAGCCTATAAAGGTCAGGCTGCTTTGTATTAGAAAGTAATGAAATATACTCCAGTTTTTCCCAATTTTTGTGTCACCTTGCAGTGTTCAATTGATTGACAGAGACAAGATTTGGGGCTTCCAACCATACTCATCAACTTTACAGGGCTAACCAAGAACAGAAATATCCACATATTCAGGCAATACTTCATGTATATCCATTTCAACCATAAATGAAGAGCATTTTTTTTTTTTTTTGTTAAGTAATAATTGAATAAATAGGAGTTCAAAAGGGGAACGCGTCCCTTATACAAAAGTGGAACCGGGGTCTAAGGCCCCAAAGAATCCAAAAAAATGATTAAATCATCGGAAGAGGAGCTCACACAACTGAAAAGAGAGCGGATAATATGAAGTTTCAGCGTCGCCGTGGACGGCTCCTTCCCTTTGAACATTCTGCTATTGCTCTCCTTCCAAATGCACCACCACACGCAATGTGGAACTATTCTCCAGTAATCACGTACACCACTTCTCACACGACATCCTCTCCATGCATAAATCAAATCCTTAGAAGAACGTGGCATCACCCAAAGCATGCCAAACAAACCAAATATAAGATTCCAACAGTCCTACGCCACGGGGCAGTGCAGGAGGATATGATCAACTGACTCACCATCTCGTTTGCATAGGCAACACCAATTAACTATACAGTTACCTCTCTTCTTCAAATTGTCAATCGTCAGGATCTTACACCATACAGCAGTCCATACAAAGAATGCCACTCTAGTTGGAGCCATAGAACGCCATATGATCTTCCATGGAAAATCAAGGCTATCAAAGTTAGATAGGCATAGGAACAAGGATCGAACTTCGAAATGACCATGGGAAGAGAGGATCCATGTTAGATCATCACTACCTCTGCCAACTGGCTCCTGCTGATACAACAGATCCAAAAGAACACATACCTCGTCCATCTCTCAATCCTAAAAAGAACGCCGAAAGTGCACGTCCCACGTAATCCCACTACTATCAAGCCGATAACATTCAGCTACGTAGACATGTCTATCAATTGCAATATTATATAATATGGGAAATGTACGAGATAATGCTGGTCACCACACCATAGATACTCCCAAAAACGAACACATCTGCCATCACGAGCTTTGAATTTGATGTGAGACGAGAAAACATCCCAACCCTTCCGAATGAATTTCCACACCTTGACTCCTCCCACAAGAGAAACCGGACGGGTAGACCAACCGCCACTCTCTTCCCCAAAATGACATGAAACTAGCCTACGCCAAGGGCGATGCCTTTCCCTCCCGTATCTCCATAACCATTTACCCAGGAGAGCTTGATTAAAGGGAACCAATCTCCTAATACCCATGTTGATTACAGAGAATGAAGAGCATATTTTGGTTATGATTATAGGAGTAGTCATGCATATTTACTATCATTGAAAACTCATGCATATTCTTATTCTTAATTGTTCTTTGTTTCCAATAAATACAAGGAAGTCCATAACTTGTGCCTTGAATAAATTCTCTCTATTACTAGACTAGCCAAAAACCCCCCCTTCTTCTTAAGGTTTAATTTGCACGCAAACAAGCATTGAAGATGCTACTTCCGTAGGACCATCAGGCGTGGAATTCTAATTATATAGGAATAGAATGAAATGTGTTGAAAGATATAAAAATTGAAAAAGGAAATTAAACAAGAAGAACAAAAGGATATTGTGGTTCGGCCACTACGACCTACATCCACGGCACACAAAACCCGAAAGACTACATCACTTTCATTATATTCTCTCTTAATATTGTTTACAATGAACACCTCTATTTATAAGTGATGAAAGAATACAAGTGATAAATATGGAAACTACATTGAATGGAGGAACAACTATGGTATTTTCCCAACAACCCCCCTCAAGTTGGTACACAGAGATTTTCTCAAATGTCCAACTTGAAACTAAAACACGAAGTTGTTAAGAGTCCAACAAGAGTAGATTGGGAGATCCAAGACGAGTTGATCCAAATCAAGACGGTTGATCTAAAGATCTGAGATGAGTTGATCCGAAGATCCGAGCGAGTTTAGAGTAGGGTATGATAAACTTGCTCTGATACCATGTTTAAAGATAAAAAATTGAAGAGAGAAATTAAACATGAAGAACACAAGGATACAAAATTGTTCAACCACTACGGCCTACATCCACGGCACACAAAAACCCAAAGGACTACATCACGTTCATTATATTCTCTCTTTATATTATTTAAAGTGAGCACCTCTATTTATAGGTGATGAAAGAATACAAGTAATAAATATGGAAGATACATTGACGGCCGATTCCAAAAATCAATCCCATAAATCACTTCAATCAATATTCTATTATAGGCTGAAATCACTCCTATGATTATTTCCTAACAAAATGAAATAAGTAATGCATTATGCATAAATGATATCTTCAATTATTTTCTAGAATCAAACCCATTTACTCAATATCGGGGCTAAAAATTTTATTTACATATTAAAAGTATCTTCAGAATTTGGTAGAAGGGCTTCGAGACACAATTCAACCAGACATGGGCCAAATTAAACCTGGAACGAACCAAACTGTGTGAATTGAACTTAGATTTTCTCTTAGGTACATGCATCAAAGAATAGGAGCATTCTTACCCTGTCGAATGGACCATCTATTTCTATAGAAAAAATCTATGTTTAACGACATTGAACCCCACTATAAACCTATTGTTATAACAAACGTAACGAACCCAAGTTGAACCAAGAATCACGACAGAAAAGTAAATATGCCACACAAAGAACACAAAGATTTATACGTGGTTTGGCACAGCCTACGTCCACGGTTGGGATCCGGCAAAAGTTTTCACTATAGGTAAAATCGGAGATTACAAGTTTTCAGCCCCACTCTGTTTCTGGTCAGAGTCTCTCTTGTCCACCACTCCAAACCCTAAATGCCCTTATATATCGGGCTACAAGAGACTAATTAGGGTCCACGACCCATGAGTAAAAAACGGGTCAAAAATTTTCCTCAAGGCCAAGCCCCCAAACCTCATCCAACGAGTCGTCGGGTCAAAAGCAGGTCGCATTGCAACGCGGCACCAAATTCAAGCCACAATATCACACCTATAATAATATAGCTCAACTTCAAATTAAAAACTGTATCACTCAAGAATAAATAATGAATGCATTGTTATGTAGATGCTAAAAAAAACATATTATGGTGGCAGAAATAATATGAATATATGATAATTAAACGGAAAAAGATGGAATAGATTCATGTTTTTACCAATCAATCCCACAGATGTGATGGGGCGAGACAAGGCTCTCCACATAGGTCTTCCCTGCTTTAAACATAGCTGGAATGCCATGCACCACTATATTTCTTGATGTTTTCCCTTTAGCATTGAATGCAACCAATTTATGTCCATTCTTTTCCGATAGAACTTCCTCGTCGCCAAGAAAAAATAAGGGTTCCATCATGTAGATACTAGGTTCACATATGGTAAGTTTGGTCCAAGACTTAGTCACAGAATACTCCTTCATCACCCAAAAATCAGTTTGGGTACCATTATCATGAGGTGCAAGCAAACAGATACACCCTCTGGAAATTCCTAGAGTATAGAACACCAAATTAAGACCACTGATATCAAGTGAGCTAGGTGTCTGCAACTCACTGAATTTCTCAGCTGTTACATCAAAAGCAGCAATCACAAACGAATAACCGTGAGACCCGACAGTCTTCCAATGTAGACACCCATTTACAAGAACCAACGAACTAGTGCAGAAATAAGAATGATAGTGGGGGACATCTTGAATCTTCCTCCAAGAATCGGATTTCAGTGAATACACACTTACAACTGTATAGATACAACAGGGTTTATCACAATCATCATATTCTGCATCCTCTCTCGCCTCAATTGCCACAACCTTGTAATCATCTGCAGCCGAATCGTACCCAAGTCCGAGTATGGTGTGACCACAAATAGACTCGTGGTCAAAAGGGGTATCGGGTAAGTCCCTGATCTCTCGAGTTGTTGGATTCAGCAAATACTTGTTGAAGTCTACATCGCAAACTAAAAGCAAACCGTTGCAAGAACCCAAGATTTCGAACTCCTCAGGAGCGTTAATCGGAAAACAATCCAGCTTCGTTGCAACCACAGCATCTTTATTAGTGGATGCTTCAGCGCAGTCGACTGAGTAAAGATGGTCAGAAATGAGGAGGAGTTGCTCGCGTTCGTTGTCGTTGTTGTTTCGATTCAGGTGTGTTTTGGCGAAATGAGGGTCCGAGATTAGAGTAAGCCATGACTTCGATACACATTTAAATCGGCAGAGAGACTTTACGGGGAGTCGACAGAGTACGTCGAAGACTAACTCCTGGGGAAGCTTAGCGCCGTACGACATTGCCACCGGCACGATGCTTCTTCTCGCCGTTTGCTTCTGACCTACAGACTTCTGAGGGTATGGGTTCGCAACCAATGTTCTTTTTAAGGTTAAATTATTAAACTAGCACATCCCACACCTTAAATGTGGTTAAAACTGCAAAATTAAGTACGAAAATTTAAGGACTGAATAATAATTTTTTTTTGATGTTTTTTAAAATTCTCAGTGTTCAAAATTACAAATGTTATTCTACTCATTTAAAATTTTATCTCATTTTAAGTAACGTCTATCCGTACGAAGTAATATTCAAATTTCGTTTAACGTTCTTAATTCGACAAGTGCTTAATCCGTTCAGAATTAAATGCTTCAACGTTCAATTGGATAATCAAATAGCACTATCACACACATTTTTTTCTTTTCAAAATGTGAGATTATATTCTTGTTATAGTGTTTGATGTTTTACACCTCTCCATTCCTTGTGTTACCATCTCGATTAACATTTATTTTTTATTGCCTTGTGTGAAGACTGAATTTATCATGGGACCATTATAGTCAAGTGATGTAAAAATCAACTCACCGATCACTTAAATATTTCTTTCTGTTTCTGCTTGATCTTAGTCTCCATTCATTCCCCTTTCTTCAGGGGCAACGGGACGAAGCACTCCATTGTTTACCTCTAGTTTGCAGTACAAATCTATTAAAAGAGATTTTGATTTTGTTTTCGTTTGATCATGTTATCACCAAAACTTGACCGTCATCTCAGCAATGACAGACGAATTATAAAATAATAGGTATTCACAACATGGCCATAAGATTTGACTCTTTGGAAATATTAAAAGCAAATAGAAAAGTCACATGTGAGTTGTTGCAATATTATTATGATATGTATTCTCAACATGGCCATAAGATTTGACTCTTTGGAAATATTAAAAGCAAATAGAAAAGTCACATGTGAGTTGTTGCAATATTATTATGATATGCCAGCCGAGTTTGTAAGGAAATTTGTTAGTTATTGTGGCCTAAATAAAAGGAAGTCGATGAGAAGGATTATGTGGCATATCTTGCTACAAACTTTTAATTTAATTTAAATTTAAAAGGGAAATAAATGAAGAGAAAAGAGATTTTTCAACAAGAAGTTATGAACAAGCAGTTGAAAAGAAGAATATAAATAAAAGGATGTATTCCATTCCAAGACGTCCAGCACCGCACCAAATCAAGCACATCAATTTCAAATGACCCAATGTCAATTTATCTTCAATTATGTTCAAACATAATCCCAGTAATTAGTCTCTTTATTTTATTACTACAACCTCCAATGGCCTTTCTTTCCTCCAAATCTCAGCACTCATGCTATTTATTTTGAAATTTATTTTGATTATTTCCTCGTGGAAACAGTTCTCTTTCATCCAATGAAAATTTCCTTTTCAAGTATTTAATTCATTGCTGCCCTTTATTTTATTTTATTCTTTCCATTTTAGAGGATTTCCGTTCTATTCTTTTACTTAATTCATACATTATTTGTTGAAAAATATATGATTCAAGTGATATTTAAGATATAAGTAATCTTATGCTAATATGTCATGAGATAATTAATAATATGTTTAAAATAATTAAATAAATATTTAACTCGATATTTAATTAAACATGCAAATTAAAGCAATAAAATAATAATAATAATAAATAAAGAACCTGGACCGAGGCTACTATTAGATACTATGTTCTTAAGACAATTTTGGCCCCGCATGGTGCTGACGGACTCTGTGGCACTGTTTATCAGGATACAATGGTCTACATCCACCAGTAACAACACTACAAATTCGTGGATACGGCGAATTCCCTCTGTGTAATACTTTCTATGACTCAAAAATGCATCTATAATATTAAATGATGAAATTGGTGCAACCCAAACCAAATGGCTCAAACCAATTTTTATCTGCCTCATTGCTATAAATGTTTGGTCTTTGTGGCGACCCTGGTTTTTAGGCCAGCGTGTCCTGTGATGAACCGAAGATTGACCCGATAACGGATCCGATACGCGGAAACGAAAACAGAAAAATAAAAGACTCTAAGAAGTTAAAGTAACCTTTCATGAGGTCGTGGAACTCAATGAGAACTGATGCAGAAGTAAAAGATCAAAAATATGACAAATAAGCCCCCAGGGGCAAAATAGTCATTTTAAAAAATATGGATTCGGGTGCTTCCGAGCACACCACTGGAAAAAAAACAAAAAAATAATCAGGATGGACTCAAGAATCGCATGATTCGGAGTCCGGACGAAGGAGAAACGGCCTGACGAAGAAAAACGAGCACTTAAGGCTAAAAGGGTAAACTGGTAATTATCTAGGAAGATCCGGGTGCCACTGAGCACACCGTTGGAAAGACAGCGAAAAATTAGTCAAGTTCAAAAAAAATTTCACTCTATTTGGAGTCCGGACGAGGGAGAAACGAGAGTTTGAAGTTGAGACGTCGCGACGGCCCGACGAAGGCCATGGCGCACACGGCGCTCATGCACGAGCTCACTGGCGCCCATGCCAGCGCCCAATGGCATGCACCAGCTAACAGCAAGAAAAAAAAAGTGAGGTTCCAGAACTGAGGCTTGAAACAGAGGCCGAAACGAATTTTTCTGGAAAAACAAGAAGAAGAAACCCCCTCTAAAATCGATTTTTCTACCTGACTTTGCCAACGGAATCGGAAAAAACTCACTGTGAAATCCCCAAAATGCCCCTAGATCAGAACTGAACAAGAGGGTTAAAAGTTACTACAATGACTGTCTGCAACTGAGAGCAAAAACGGGCTAGAAGATGAATTTTTCTGGAAAAACACAAAGAAGAAACCCTCCTCAAAATTGAATTTTATAAGTGACTCGTGAGAGAATTAAAAAAAAATGCAATGTAGAATGCCCGAAATGCCCCTCCATGAAATCTGGTCATGGAGGTCTAAAAAGCTGCTAAAAAAAACAGAAAGCTGAACTTTGCGATCGATTTCCGGCACCAAGACAACATTTTTTGGAAAAACATGAAAAATAAACGCCCCCCTAAAATCACATTTTCTAAGCGACCATGTGAAGACTGGAATTTATTTCCCGAAGGAAAAGCCCAGAATACCCTAAAATCAGACTATGGAACAAAAGTGCAAAATGAATCCATAAGAGGCTCATTTCGCCAAAGGAGAAGGTTTGCCTGGAAACGACTATGCACGCAAACGTAACTTACTTATTAGGGCGTGCTAAAATAGTCCACGGCTTAAAAATACCACCGATGGAAAATTTGACCCCCCAACGGCCAAAAAAGCAAAAATGAACTAGAAATGGGAAATTTGAAAACTAAAATTAAGAAATGGTTTCAAATAACCGTTTGGCCCTTGGCCACACTTCATATAAGATAAATGAGACCCTACGAAAGAATAAAAATGAAATTCCCACACCCGATGCAAAAGTTATGACACAATGTCTAAGCATTTTTCAACATTTTCATATTAAGCCTTGAAAACGAAAGTGCATAGAAAGCAAGATACATGTCATTGGCCTCCGGCCTCATCTCATACATGTTAAATACATTAAAAAGAGTGTACTTATGTACACTTTACCTACATAGAATCAAAGAATATACATTTTGACATAAAAATGCTACAAAATGGCATCTCATGCTAACACTTGCATGAAATGATAACTTAAAGCTACAAGCCATCCCAATGAACGCTAAGCATCACGAACCAAGTCTTCGAACCTGTCAAAACCCCCAGTAACTTCGGGGTGAGTAAACAAGACTAACAAGTTTACTCGTAGAGAATGAGCATGCACGACTCGATTTCTTTAAGATTTTTAGACTGACATGCAATAGTTCAAAGGGATCATGCCATCTAATGTCTATGTCAAGAATTTGACTCAGGGATCATCCTAAGCTACTCATACAATTGAAATGGAATACACGACATGCAAGCATACCAGTTACAAGTGTACTAAACGAAGATGAAAGCATATGAGGTAAGTTTACAAAACACAGGCATACTAACAAGATGGGAAACACACAAGGCAAGTATACAAGACAAGAGTACACTAAACGGAATCTATGTACAAGAAGCAAGTATGCAGTTCCAAGTATGCTAAATAAGATCTAAATATGCAAGTAAGCATAACATCTATGCAATTAAACAAGGTGGGAAAATACTCCATAAAACACGACATGGTTCTTAGATCCTTAAGAGATAACACTAGAAATCTAAGAGTTTAGAGATTTGCATGTTGATATAAATCATTACTCGTGGTCCATGCCACCTAGAATCTAAGTCAAGTTACACGTAGAGGATCATTCCTAAGTCATGGTAGCATAAAGTAATATGAAACAAGATAACAAAGAAATTTAACAAGATTGAAACAATTCAATTAGCATGACAAGGAGAAGGCATGAAATCAAGGATAAGGCATAGTATCAATGAAATCAAACAAGGTTGGAACATTTCATATAACAAGAAAAGAGTTTTAAATCTTCAAGGAATAGCAACTTGAAATTTAAAGAGTGAAAACAACCAATGTGGAAACTTGGATATCGCCCGGATTAAAACCGTTCTCATGGGATCACTTTAGGGCTACTAACCCATGGGTACCTTCCTCGAGTGCGTACTATAGAAAACCGGAATCTTGGGATCACTTTAGGGCTACTAACCTCTTCCCCGAGTACGCACTACAGTGTAGAGGGACTTTCCCCCGTACTAGAACCAAGTCCTAGCCATGTCAATTTTGATTGATATCACCAAGTTTTCAAAATCAACATGTTATGCAAGTCAAGATAGCATTAAGACACAAGTAATGCATTGAACATGTTTTATGCATAATTAAGATTTTGGAAATGTACAAGTCATGCCCTAAGTTCTCAATTAACATGGCATGTGAAATGTCAAGAAATCATAGTATGCATCTACATAGACTACAAACTAGGATATATGTCACATAGAATTCATCGATGTAGAAATACCACAAGTATAAGATTAATGATTTAATTATTTATTAAGCAATACATGGATAATTAAATCATTTAAAGACAATTGTGCCAGTTCATTAAGTACATTAATGAAATTAAGATACACGGGGTCTAGTTACATGATGTAAAGCTAATAGTTCCATGGAA